TTCAGAACATGTATGGATTATCCGTTTTTCCGTTAGAATTCTTACCGCAGTTCGAGAGAATTGAATATTGTACGAAGTCATAATGGAAAACATGCAGCGCCACCATTTCGATGATATAGCAACCTTAAATTACACTTGGTCGGTAAGCCATGGCGGTAATTTCCTCTATACCGACGCTGTTTGGCCGACCGTACTGGTCGTGTAGAGAGCCATTCTTTGTAGGCTTATGTCGTGTAGACTTGTGTCGTATAGGGTCGTGCAACCAAGTTTATCCCCACGGTGTAGACTTGCGAGCGGTGTAGTGCTGTGATAGTACGAACAACGCTCCCTCACACTATAAACCATTTTTTAATTTAATTAATATCTAATGAACAATCAGGTGTAAAAGGATGATACCAATTTATTTATTATCTACAAACGATTTCCTTTCCATTGGTTAATATTATTTCGGTCTACAAATAAAAATTAGTGGGGTAGGGTGCTAACTTCCGATCATTATTTTGTTTAATTAATTAAAAAATAATGAAGGGTCTACAAAATTTTTTAATTGTATTACAATGATGTACAAAGGTCCTACTATTGATCTAAATAAAAAAACTAATGAATTTTCAATTATGTGGTGCCAACTACCTGTCACCAAATTTTGCACAATCGTGGCGAATCAGTCATTTTTGGTGGCGTCGCTCGCCACTCTACATGCCTGACGGAAATATCGTCACTACTCGCACTTATTCGTAGACTTCGCAGACAAAAGTTGACAAATTGGGTGCCGATTAAGATTTGGAAATAATCCCGACCCTATCAAAGTATGAAGAGATTGAATGTTGACATTTTTTATGTATATAAAGTTGAATAAAATTGAGTGTTGAGCGAATTTATTTCAAATTATTCCCGCAGTGAGATCCTCAACTGACCTGCCATCTGAACGATTCAACCACAAGTTGTGAATAGTAACTGCCGTAAGCGCCACCATAGAAAAGAGAAATTCAAAACATTAATACAGTTTTGCTTTAATTTTTTAAGAGGTTATCTTTGCTTATTATCAGGAATTATAGAGTTTCAATGTTTTTTTGTACTGTAAATTTAAGATCAAGCTTCTAATTTTCAATGCAAATTTTTATCTATTCTTATAATTCAAATGCTGATTAGTAAATATTCACACCGCACATAATATTCATCAATTTCCACAAAAACTCCAAGATTTAATTGATTAAATAACTGATCGACAATGGCTTCGGGGCTGGAGAGCTATGTCAATCGTAAACGTTACATTTTAAATTCAATTAAATTGCATTAAATCAAGCTTATTTTATAAATTGTTCGCTCTCTAACCATAATCACTCTTTCAGATACTGTGTCAATCATAACAGCAGATGGACGAAATTTTATTGTAAGAAAATACAGAATTATCGTTAGCTAATGCAAAATCATATATTTTTTCAATGAGCGGCATACCATCCTCATCATCGGATGTAAATGATTTCAGGGTACACTGAAAGGATTCGATCAGACGATCAATCTCATTCTTGATGAATCTCACGAAAGAGTCTATAGCTTGTCACAGGGGGTTGAGCAAGTAGTTTTAGGACTGCATATAATTAGAGGAGATAATGTGTAAGTATTTTCTTTATATTACCTGAAATTGGGGCGATTATCCAGGCTTGTGACAACTCTATCTTCTAGTAAAACTATCATTTTAATAGAGGTACTTCTATCTAACTTTAATATAATATAACTTTAATGTGTCTTTTAAATCTCTTTAGAGCAATTGTGGGAGAATTAGACGACGGAATGGACTCACGTTTAGATCTCGGATCAATCCGGGCCGAGCCCATCACATCAGTGGCCCATTAAAAGTAATATTGTAGTAATCAAAACATCTATTCTTTAATAATCTAAATTAAGTTCTAAAGTAACTCGGTAATTATTTCTAAATCGATGTAAATAACCAAAAACTATGACCATATAATGAAGAAATAAATGAATGAACGGTTTTTCATAACACAAATGATAATCAGTGAATGAAAATGCCATAGTTGAACCATAAAATTTAGCTGAAATCTCATACTTCGGCTAATAAAAGTTGATATAATGAAATTTTTAAACAAAAAATATTCCCTCTGTAAACTTGGCCGTCTAGAGATAAATACTTTATTAATTAAAATTTTTAGTTTTCCTTCAATATTTGTCCATTACTCACTTTTTAACCCAAAATAGGAATACAAATAATGATATAAAATCAGTTAGGTCTATATCTATACAAATATATTTTTTCAATGTCGACAATGTACATTTATTTGTTTGATTTAATTACTTAATTACTTCAATAAAAAATGAATAATTTCAATAGTCGCAGATAATTCAACTCTTTGATAATTATTCGTTTCTATATTATAAATAGTCGAAGAGAAGAGAGAAATGATGTTACATACAATCATCGAATATACACAATTTTTTTCATCTATTTACAGAAAGATATAAAATTTTATTATCCCTAGAAATTACAGCTACATTATCATAAGTGAACAGCCTGTTCGGTTATTCATATTCAATATTTACGTTATAAATAATGAAAATAAAATTATTCAACCAATCTCACGTTATGACTTATTATGAATACGCAATTGTAATACCTAATGGAAGTTGTCAACTCATATCTGTCTTATTTTAACTTGCACCAAGAGTATAAATGAAGAATCATTCCAAATAATAATAAAAATACTTGAGCCATCAGGATTGTAAATAACGTTTAAAGATAGAGTATGACACCTTGTGACAATTTTGATCTGATAATCAAATACCATTTATTATTGTACTCAAAAAAGAAGACGATTATCTAGATGTAAAAATAATCAAATTATGCTTTCCTTCATAATTCATTGATTACGAACTTATTGTGACCCTGTTACAAAAATGATTAATACGCAATTGAACCACTAGATTATTTTAACATTGAGCGATCCTTAACAATTCACTCAATATCAATAAATCCAAGCTTTGTTGGAAAATTGCATTTTTGTTGTAGTGCATGAAGTTAACTCTACCTACTGAGGTGATCTGTTCCCTCTACTCGAATTATTGGGGTTAGAGCGATTTCTGTTTCTTCTGCGCACTCTTCCTCGGTTTCTCCCTGCGTTTGCGCCACTGTTCCCTACCCAATCAGGCCCATTATTACCAAAATTCATCTGATTCGATGGGCCGTATCCCATCATTGTTTCATTCGCCCCGGATCCAAAATTATTGAAATTATTGCCCGCAAAAGGTTGATCATAATTCGGACCTACGTCAGAGTACAACCCAGGGGCTGGACCGAGCAAACCAGCTCCTCCATTCCTCTGAATAAACCTTGAATCAAGTCCTAGCTGATTTTGTTGCATCGAGGGACCATTTTGAGAAATCCCCATGGGCATCCCTGATGTATGCTGTATAGGCATATTCATCATCCCAGAAATAGAGTTCATCCCTCCCAGCATTGAACTCTGAGCCATCCCCATATTGAGAACTGGACCTGGCATTACAGAACTCCCTAAACCAATTGAAAGATCACCAGAATTCGGAGGCATTCCTGATATCATTGAATTGCCAGGAATTTGATTAGATATCTCCAGAGTTTTTCTCCTAGGATCAGCTCGCAATTGCGGCGGGGATTTTGGTGTATCAGGTATTTGTTTGCTTTGAGGGGGCGACATTGGAGAATCGGGTGCATCGTTATTAGATAGTCTAAAAATTTTACGTAGTCTAGGATCGTGTTTTACTGCTGCATCATTCTTGGTTAGCTTTAAACCAGTGTAATTGGGCCTCGGTATGTCCACTACGTAGACTTTATATGATAGTGGCAAATGTGAAGCCATACTAGCGTCAATCTCAGTGCAAGGTATATGAGAAGGGGCAGGCTTAAATGGTAACGTCAACATTTGTCTTAAATCGACATCAGATCTGCCATTCTCGAAGCCTCCTATTCGTAAATCTGTATCCCCAAAGTCCTGAAATCGTTGTCTTAAATCCATATCCTTTCTTCGATGATCCTGATCACTTCTAGCCCGAAAATCTGTATCCATTCCATGTGTGTAATCCGTTGATGTTATCCCAGATGAATAAATACTCGTTTCTAGCCTTAGTGTCCTAGAATCTGTTTTTCTCAAATCCGATATAGATGGACTAGTAGATTTAATCTCTTCTATTCTTCGTTGACGAGGATCTCTGGACATCCTAGGATCTCGAGAGACTGTCGCTGTGTTGGTGGTAGGTGAAGATTTAGGACTAAGTACCTCATTTTCCAATTTAACTGCGGAAGACAAAGTCTCCGATGAGTCTGGTGAGTTTGTTCTCGACTTTTCATCATTCTTGGAAGAGTCGTCAAAAATTCGTTTAAGTGGAGGTTTTATGGAAGACAAGAGCTTAGTTACTTCAGCACTAATGTCTATTTTACTCAAATCCCCGAGTTTATCAACGATAGGTGCTGGTTGGGGTAAGATTATGGAAGGCAAGGAGGGGGTTTCTTCAATCGAACTGTATTGATTGTCTCTTCCACTCTTCTCGTCTTTTTGATTATCCTTCAAAACTATCTGGAGATTACCATGCCCATCATCATCATCATCATCATCATCATCATCATCACCATCATCATTATCATCAGCAGCAGCAGTAGCAGCAGCAGCAGCATTATCACGGTCCGACTCATCGGAATACCATTCTTCCTGGTCTTTCAAGGCATTCTCCACTGCTAATTTTTCGTCAGAGGTAATAAGAGTATCTCCGGCTGCTTTTTGTTGCTGTTGAATCCGTAGAAATATTTCTTGGGCAGTTTTTGGCAGGTTTGTTGAAGTTTCTCGACCACTAGCAGATAATTTTGCCACAGGTGAATCCCTTGAATCTAGCTGTGAGTTCGTACCGTCTTCAAGAGCTTTACATTTTTTATCCACTTCCAAGTCTTTATTTTTATCATCTTCCTCCACTGGAACTTCGATGACAAGGTTTGATTCTTCTTCGCGATCACTTTCTTCATCGAATTTGGATTTTGAGAGATTCGCTGCTTCTTCAGCTAGACTTAGGATACGAGGAGTTTTAGGCATTGCGTTTGCTAAGAGTTGTCTCAAATCGATATCTTTCGAGATTAGATGACCCTCTGAAGATTTCGATGTAAGTTCTTCTGAGTCCTTTAAACCATCCGTGAGTTTTGTTTTGCCTTCTAATAGCACATTCCCCTGAATCTCATTGTAAAAGTCCATATTTGCTGCTATACATTGTTGAATTAATAGACGCTGCTGCATTTGTTGGTGCTGCTGCATTGCTAAGCTCAAAGCAACGTTGGGCAAATTCAGGCCGAGTTGATTCACTGTTTGTAGGAGTACTATTTGCTCTAAGGGGACACGATCATCGTCAGAACCCCATCGAGTTTTCTTATTAGCAGATTTCTTTTCCTTAGAGGAATTCGAACGCTTCTGTGAATCCACAGATAGGTCTTCGTCTTTATCGGTGGAAGAAGTGTTTCCTTGAGCATTCGGGGAAGTGAGGCTGACGTCAAAAAGACTCGGAATCTTCTGCGAATCATCCTCGAGACCTTGGGAGTGATTTCGAGCTGTATGATTGATCATCATAAGAGCGCTTTCCCGACTTAGTCGCGGGAAGTCACCCAGGATCTCTTTCGGTGCAGTTTCCAAATGTTTAAGTAGAATATTCTTCACCTGATCATTGAGAGGTTCGTGAGAAAATTTACAATTGGAACCAGCTCCGCATTTAAGTCCAGTATGATGGAATTTGCATGGAAAGTCATGGTGCATATAAAGACACTTATCCCTCTTAGCACAGCAGTCCATCAAGTAAAATTTACAAAGTTCCATTTTTCTAGGAGGAAGTGCATTGTGCGAAAATGGACAATCGTCACCTCGATGACACTTTCCCTGCATAAAATATAAACAGATTGAGTCTGGATCCTGATTATGATCGGTAATTTGATTCCGCCTTCCATTGCGCTCGTTCCGCGCACTTCCTCTCCCTTTATTTTTCCCGGTCCGTTCATTTTTCCCTGATCGTCTAGGAGTGGAACCACGATTACTGACACGTTTTTCGTCACGATGTCTATTCGATCGCTCCTCTGAATCTCTATCAGAGTTATTATCAAAGTTGTCATTTTCGTGGGAACGTCGAGGTGGACTCCCGTCATGGAGATCTTTCCTGTTTATTGGAGAAGCTCCTCGAACGAACATGAACTCATCCTCGTCTTCATTACCATTTTCGTCTTCACTTAGTCGTCGTTTCTGTCGAAAATTAAAAAAATAGAAATATAAAAATTAGTATGAAATAAAATTGTGAAAATTAATTAAAAACTATTGTTATCATTCCTATGGCGAAGATACACTATATAATGCAGACAGGAAATTCTTGCCCATATTTTTGCAATTTCTAAAAATAGTTCAAATATAGAAACCATCACATTTATACTTTAGCCTACCGTCGATAATCTGTATAATCTGTACAATGTGATCAATACCCTCAAAATCAGGAAAGTCTTATCATTGACCTAACCCCCCCCCCCCCGGCCCTCCTCAAAAAATGTGACAAAATCAATAAGTCTTTAACTTCAACTCTGTGCGGCATACTAGAAACAGCGATCTCGTATGGCTACGGAGAGCAAACTTGGATTTGATAGACTTTTGGTTACGAATGGACGTCTCGAGTGATCAGGCATTCCCACAATGTTATTTTCCCTGTTATGTTACTCAGTCGTGAATAATTTGAGCAGGGAATTAGAGTGTTTCATCTATTACTGGTCTATATTCAATCACATTATGTGTAGTGCTTGCAGATACAATTATATCAATAATATGAAACAATTGATTCAGTGCCATGTAAAAAATAACTATCTCCGAAATTTACATTTAAGGTCGCCAAGGACTATCTTTCGAAGATCAGTTTTTAGTTTGAATTCACTGCTAATAGCCTAAAATATATAATAAACTGAAATACAAATCGTATTCTGAAAACCATGCGGCCCTTCAACTTAAATATCTCGGAAATTATTCATTCGATGCAAATCCACTGCAATACAAACAATAGTGATAATAAAAGATAATTCTATGGCAAATTACAATTTCATGTCTCTGAGTAGTAATAAAATTTTCATAGTGAGAGTAGTAGGTATATGAATTTTAGGCATCAAAAACCAAAGAATCAAAATATCTCCAAAAATATGTTATCAAGTTAAACTTTTTGAAGAAACACATTCAAATCAGTTGAACAATTTTTTAATTATTGCATGGAACGAAACTGCATATTCCAAAAACCAAGAATTCGATTTCATTTCGTTTCGATACGCATCCTTCTTCTAAGAATAAAATTTAGTAATAGTAATTTAGTGGAAGTAGTACTTGCCCACTTTTTGGGCCTCAAACACGTTTTCATTTTTTTACGTGATTTCTAATTCTATATATATATATCTATTTCTAATTCATCAGGAAGTACACTTATTTGCATATTCTCTTTATTTTATCAAAGTATTTCATGCTCGACAAGTCTTGAAAGAATTAAGATCGAAAGTTAAAATTTGGTAAGATCGGAGCTACTATAACATTATTGAATTTTTTCGAAAAATTTATGATAAAAATGTTAATTAAGGGCATATTTTCCTGACAGAAGTTTCATCATTACGAGAGGCAGAGTCAGAACCTTCATGCGAAATTTGTACATGAATAAAAAGTCGAGATGTAGGAAAATCGATTGAACTACCCTATTGGATGATGGTTTTCCACAAGTTTTTCGAGAAAATGTTGAAAAACTGAAGTGAATACAGTGAGAAAAACCGATCCCAGAAATTAGAAAAATTCGTCAACTAATCGTTTGGAAAACCTGATACCTGTACACAATATTAACTATAACTTCACTAGAATTTCAATAAAATGAATCCCCTCATCTACATATTTCCCAAATCTGTTTTGCTTTTTTTTCCCAAAAAATTGGTCAAATAGATTTTTTGTCTCACGATACTCCTTATAGTATCTTCAATTATGTATATCTAATTGGCAAATAAAGAATTTCATGTATTATACGTTCCCTCAGGCCCTCGTCACTCCACTTATATATAAGACAAATTAAACAAACCTTCTGGTCCTTATTTCGTTCCTCTTCCTTTTCATCTCGACTCCGCTTCCTATTTTTACTCCTACTTGAAGAACCTTTCCCCTTGCTTTTCTCCTCTTTATTATTATCTCCATCCAAAGCAGCTTTGATAGCCTTTTCAACATCGCCAGCCCAATCTTCCGATGGATTTTTATACTTTGTAAATCTGTCAGATTTACCTCCACCAGTACCACTAACAGTAGTGCTAGTCGATGATTTACTCTTACTTTTACTCGACTTGGATTCCGAATTTCTGTCCCTATGAGACTCGGACTTTGAGCTTTTCGCTGGATCAGGGGCTTTAACTGGTGTTGGAGGTGGCAGAGGCTCATCATCTTCATCCGAAGGAATTTCGCCATCCTCCAAATCATCATTAGCCGCATTGCTAGTTATGAAAAAAAAAATTATTTCTGAAGATCTTAATCGCTCGTTTGATAAATATTATTCTCTGCTCCATCAAGCGGTAATATTACGATAATAACGATGATGTTCGCTAATGAATGATGCTGGAATAATCTTCATCTAAACATCAACTACTTTTAATTTTCCCCATCATATCAATTCATCAATACAACCTTGTATATGAATAGCACAAGAAATTTTGCCTGCTGGTATTAATATTGTTAAAAATTTTTCATTCATATAGCTCATTATTTCTGAACAATACTTGTCCATTACTCTACAAATGTATAAGTGAAAATTTCATCTTATATTTTGAATAGTTATCAAGTCAACGACTATGACGACACTACCATAAGATTGATTTATTTATGCCTTCCATTTTTTCTTCAAACTTTTCATGAAGAAAAAAGAATAAACTCGGCTGTCAAGTACTTTCTTTCGAAATTGAAAATACTGTGCTAATATATATGGTAAACTGGACTGTAACAGGATCCGATGGCGTACTACTCAGTTGAGAAACATCGATCATTCACTGCAAAGCCAAGCACCTGGTAGTGAAACTAAGCCGATCAATAAAAACCTCGAAGTCAAATTGATTAAATAAAAATTCATACAGAATGTCTTGGAAAAGAAAGCAAAAAAAAATCAATTGGATTTTATACTACCTCTGTATTAATTATTCGGTTCAATTATTAATGGCAACAGCGCCCAATAAACCACGGAAGCTTTTCATTTTTAATCACTCGATAATTATTCGAAATATTTTATAATTAATGAATTAATAAGTATAAAGAAAAAAATGATAACTAATGGGCATTTTCGACTGAGGAAATAACTTGGAAATTGATTTTCTTCTTACCAGTTTCTGTGAAGCATCATTCATTTCATTTATAATCATCAAGTGTTGCATAATTATCATCGTTTTTCATAAGACATCATGAAACATCATTTTAGTTATCATTTGATGAACATCACCATTTCATGAGCAGAGAAAAATATCATAAAGTTGTTGATGAGAAGTTTCATTCGATTGAAAAGATGTTCAAGTAGAAAGCAATAGTGCTTGTAAATGGTGAATAATATGATGTGTATTTTCTTATTGTCATACTATCACCCTACTCGTCCATCAGTTGAACAGAACTGGGTGGGTTATTCATTGAACATTGAAGTACATTGAGAACAGCGATAATAGAACAAGAGGGGTCAGTTGCGTGACATCATGTTATTACTCTGTTTCTTGCATCCTGACGGATGTTTTTAGGTCTGTTGTTCAAGAGTCTGACTGATTATAGTAGTTATATAGTATGATCCTACTAACGTATTCGACCGTGAAGAGAAAATTCATATAAAATTATAAATCAGGAAAACATGCTTTTTTATTTATCCTTCCTTTTGAAAAATATTAAAACGCCCGAAATAAATCACATTTTTTATTTACAGAGTGTTGCTGTGTGTAACTCTCATATCGTTCTACTCCGGTTAAAAATCGATGAAAATGGCGTATTGACTTTTTCGTAAAGAACCAAGTGGAATACACTTGACGCACCAACCAACCAACTTTTCACGAAACTAATCATTTATTGGTTTCTCCCTATGCAAAACATTGCATAACGCATTGAAGGACACCGTTGCTCCAATATTCACTATTATCATTATTATTCCGTGAAAATCGGAAAACTCGGAAAAATATAAATTTCTAAATAATTTGCAATGAATATTATTCATGAGGCAGAAGGAAAGAAAATTAAATGAAAAAACTTTGATTAATTTGATTATGACAATGCTCACGCGGTGAGAATGCCACCTTATACATCTTTAAGAAAATAAGGCAAAATATATATATTCATTATATGGATATTTTTCCTCCACGATCGAATCCGTTGTGTTCGATATATCATTTTTTTTAATTACTTATTTTTTTTTTTTCAAAAAAGAAAATGAGAATGAAGCAAACCTTTGGATCAGTCTTTCGGCCGCGGTGACACTCTCTAGTGCCATATTCGACTACGACCTTTTAACCTATCCAAATTCAATAAATATTTTTCCCGATGAACAATTAAACTCCTATTATCACCGCCGATCGAGACTCGACTGCATAAAGTAAGTTCTCCCTACTATTTTAATTATTTACATCAATATCTAATATCCGCCACTGATATTCTCGAGTACAAAATCTACGCGACACTCGACCTTCATCAATTTAATTTTTACCATATCTCGTCAAATATTCATTATTTAAAGTTGCTCAGTACTTCAGAAATTGTAAAAGCACGAACCAGTCTCTCAAATGAGAGCAAGTATAAATGGAAAAGTATATTCTCTACTCTTCCCAAATGTCTTTTTTTATTTTTTTGTCCTCTATTACTCTTTCCCCCACCATTGAATCCGTAATTCAGTGTTAGCTTTTTTTTCCCAATTGTTTTCACTCAATTGAAATATTGACATTTATTGGTTTCACTTTGTTATTCGTTATTTTGAATTCTTGGATCAATAATGATGATTCAAGATGAAGGTAAAAATCCCTTCTTTTATATTTAGTTCTGTTTGAATGGTTGTATGCTCAGATGGCCGCCGACGACAAACAACGTCATTGTAGTTGACGTGGCCGGTGGCGGTGGCCAGGTCGAGTACCACCGAGTACCACCGAGTACCACCGAGTACTTTCTCACGATGTACGTTAATGTAATGGTCAGAGAAGGGGCGAGAGGGAGCTCAGGGGCGAGGGCCGGCCGAGAAAGGGGACACCGTATTTTCTTTAAAAAAAAAAAATATATATATATATATATGTATATATATATATATATGCCCTCCTATCCTTCAAAACGTAACCCACCCGTCACGTGATCCCCTCTTCAACTCAATGCGGTGCGTACGTGTCAATAATGACTCATTTTATGTTTCCGTCGTAATCTCTCTTCGTTTTTCGTTTTTTTCTTTTTCTTTATTTTTTATTTCCCATTATTTATATATGATGCTGATGATGAAAAATTCAACACGATACGATGGTTCTTTAGCCGTTAAACCGTTTCGGACAGTTAAAGCAAGCTCTCATTGAGTTTACGATGATTTTGCTTTTCTTTCTTACGCTTCCACTGGACAATACCCCCTCGACTCTCTCAGAAACTCTGCTAAACTTGCGCCTTTTTGCCTCGTACGGATTACTTTAGAGGTTATTTTGTTGTAATGTCGCGTTTGGAGAGGTCAAGTGTCAAATAACGATGTTGCGAAGATGGAAATAACTATCGATGGCTGCGATTTTTGGAGTTTAATTGTATCCTTCGACGATTTAATTATGCAAAAGATGGACAAATTTATACAACATGGTCGGTTCTTTGGTCGAATTAAGGCGAGTGCGAATTGATTATTCGGATGTTTTTTGTTGATTCTTGTAAGTTTGTTTTCTTTTCTGGTTTTTGCGGTGATTTTTGTTGCGATTAAATTGTAATCGATAATAGAGAAAACTTTAAAGATTAACTAAACATGGGCACATCTGGAACTATTCTGAGACGCAACCGAGAGCAACGGAATGGATGACGAGGCCACCCAGCCGCTCCCCGTTTTTTCAGCAGTGGGAGAAATGGTGAGGGACCACAGCCAATCGGAGTGCGATATTATCGTCACGTGAGCGCTTCATCATTGGAGAAGGGATGGCTCTCACCTCTCTCAGCCCTCTCACCAAACCCAGCCATACTTGCCTTTTCCGACTAAATTCCTGGCAATCAACAGGAAAAATGAAAAAAAATCCAGTGAACGCCATCCCGGCCATGCCGACCATCCCAACCATGCCCCATCCCCCATGCCATCCACCCAATCATTCACCTTATTAATCATTTCAAAAGCATCGACTCATCAAATATTTTATACCTTCTTAACATTACCTCACTAACATTTCATTCGCCATTACGGCCATTACCAAACGATTAAAGCCCAAAATACTCAATATTTTGTCCATATTACGAGAAAAAAATCATCTTTTTACTCAATTGGTAAAAATTTGATGAGGTATTGCACCTGAAAATCCTGAAAAACTGAAATAATTTTTTCTCTTGTTGGAAATCTCATGAATTTATTTCGAAATCACAGCTGCTGAAAAATTTTGCGTGACCCCTTCCAATTACATGAGTTTCAAACGTTTAGCGGCTTATCTAATTCTAGATTTTCACAGACTTTTAGTGCTTTTCATTACTAATTGCATTTATAAATTTCCATCGACTTGAAACTAATCATAAACGAAAATGCAAGTTATTCCCGGAAAATATTGCTACCATCTCAATTCCGATTCCCGACAAACCGAAAACCTTAAAATTTCCAATATTAATATGCATATATATACATATACCGTCTAGAACGAGGATTTATAGATTCCTTCCTTTTCTCAAGAGAACTAATTCTTATCAAAAAAATTAGTGAGATCTCATATTATAACATATTATATCTAATCATAATATCTACACCATACAAGATGTTGGAAAATCACTTACTTTTCATTTGTCGAAAAGAATGAAAGATTCAAATCTCTTCCAGCTAATAATAATATATCATTATTGATACATTTATTAAATTCAATTATTCGTGATACATGACATTTTTTGAATTTCAGGATTGAAGACATTAATTTAAATATTCCCTCTAAATGCTGGAAATTAATGTCCTGTTTCTGAACATTGAAAAGTCATTGGAAACGCTCCACAACGAGACCGGTTGAACTTTATTCACCTACATCGGGGGGCTATTACTGTGCGTCGAATCAATTTTCTTCTGCAACTCGAATTATTTCAACGTTGATGATTATCAATATTTTTACCGGAAAATATCAATTATGGCATAGAAGTTCTTTTTTCAATACATGGAAAATATTTAAGTTATTAAAAACATGCAATCATTAATAATAATAGTTCAAAAAATTATTTATTTCAAGCAATATTATATTGCACAATATATATATCAGGTCATATCAACGTTATGATGAGAAAGGAGAACGTCATCAATAATTATTTATTTGATAATCAACGAATAGAGAGCGAATGGCAAGTAGAATAACAAATAGCAAACAGCGAATCTACCTTTTTCATAATTCTAAAGATCAATTTTCAATAATACTAAACGGAACATGCTGTAGAGAATCATTGTAAAAAATTAATTAGTTGTTCCTTGTTGCCAAATTACGAAGCAAGTTGATGGAGTTAAATTATTGTAAAGGTTCTCAAAGATTAGGACAAACATTTTTCTCCTAATTATCAAAAATCTCGTAGAAACATTGCAAATTTTTAGAAAAAGGTCAACGAAACTTCCAATACTTTTCAGCTTTTTTGATATCGATGGTTCTATTACCTTTTTCTATAGTTAATTGAGAATATGAAAGTAATTCAGTACCAATGATACCTCAAATGAAAGTCGATAAGAATTTAATATGGGAGAATTACCAGTCTCCTTAACGGAACACAAACTATATTATTTCTTGAAGAGAAGAAAACTTTTCTATCTCAAGAAATAGACTATTAAATTCTATCTGATCATCAGATAGATTTTGATACCGGATGGCTAATACCACATTTTTTTTCATTCCGTGGAGAAGCTTATAATGGATAACTAAGGACGAAGATGGGCGAATGCAGTTAAATGTAATTAATTGCCAGAAATTTATTTACGACCTATATTATATATACAATGTCCACTGCCATATTTAATCACTTGAATTCATTATAGAACTGAAGTTTAATTAATTTTCCGTAACTTCAAATCCTGCAAAACATATGAGATTTTATTTTTTATCTATCAGAGGGTTGACGTGCGTCATGAAAAATACGATACATATCATATTTCACCATCTCAATTAATATTTTGATTATCAAATTATTCGCACAATATTGCAAGAAATTTGAACGAGAATTCGGCAACACCTTACAACAATTTGTACAGACAAAGAGAAAGAGAACGACTAAATGGGGATGAGTAGAAAATAGTTTCGAAAGCGAAAAAAATTCAGTCATTTTTTTCGATGAATGTTGATTCGAATTCTGCCGTTCTCTCTGCCTGTCCAAGCTGCTCCTTGACAGTTTCAGCAGAACGATGATGAAAGACAAATGAAATGCCGCTGCTCCAACAATGCCTGAGAGGAATATCTGGTAAATGCCTAGGCATATGGGCATGCCTCCAATCCGAAAGATCAGAGTTGCAGTCAGAATTTTCTGGCGGTCCTCTAATCTCCATGCCATTGACACATCTTTTGCACTTAAATTTCGAATGTGTATCCGACATTGTATTTTCCTCCAACTTGAACAAATCTCTAAGATCGGTTAACGTGAAGTGTCTGCAGACATCGTCCTCCTGATCCACGACAGTAGAACTCAGTGCCTTCTTGTGTGCCTGACGCTGAAAAATCTTTTCTTCAATCGTTCCAGTGCAAAGGAAACGATAAACAAAGCAAGGTTTCTTTTGTCCATCTCTCCAGACCCTGGCCATTGCCTGATCATCATTAGCAGGATTCCAATCTGGATCAAACATTACTAACCGATTCGCCCCAATCAAATTCAGCCCACAACCACCAGCTTTTGAAGACAGCATGAAGATAAAATCGCCCGAATCTGGCTTGTTAAAATTTTCTACTACTTTAGCCCTTTTTTTTATCGACATTGTGCCATCTAAACGTACATAACGATAAGCTCTCTTTGCACAGAGTTTTTCAAACAGGTCGAGGGTCTGAGTGTAGTTGGAGACTAGAACAATTTTATCCGTTGTTGTGGATTTGATGGAGGCTAGAAGAGTATCCAAAACCATCAGTTTTCCTGACAACTCTGGGAGGACCTCTTTTGTGCTGTAGTTTTTGGGTAGAAGTTTGGAAGCACCCTCAAACCCTTCCGAATTCTGTTGAATCTTCTCGTAGACAAGATCTGGATGATTACAGAGTTTTTTTAGGAGGGTAATGGCTGACAGTGCTGACAGTGTACCACCTTTCTTCTTTTCGCTCTCATGATTTGACATAGATTTTCGAATAGCCTCGCTCTGAATGAAATTTTTGTAGAGAGAGTTCTGGAGTTGCGTCATCTTGACACAGACCACAAGCTCATACTTGATGGGAAGATACTTCGAGAGGAGGGCACTTGTCCGACGAATTAGGCATTTGTTAACTACTGTTACTAACTCTTCTAGACAATTTTGGGCTCGAGTACGTTCACTGTCAGATGCTGCTGCATCCTGGCCTCGGAGTATTGGATTCTCAAATTTTCTGCGAAATTCCTGAAAGTGCAAGTCAATTTATGTCATTATAAATCTGTTGTAGAGTAATAAAGATTTGGCGATGAATATGTAATTTTATGAAAAATTGAAATTTTGTATACATTATTTGAAAAAAAAGCCTCACATACGTTTACAATTGTCAAATAATCAATTAATTTCTTCAATAAAGGTAGAAAGGTGGAAAAAAATATGTTATTACCTGAGCAGTTCCAAGCAATCCTGGATTGACAAAATGGACGAGTGAAAAATACTCCAAAAGATCATTCTGAATAGGTGTGCCGCTGAGCAAAACTCTTCTTTTTGTTTTCAACCCCATCAAAGACTGATAAGTCTGATTTTCGGAATTTTTAAGCCTGTGGCCCTCATCACAAAGCACAAGGCCTACCTCATCTTTGTGTAATACGGATGCGTGGAGTCGAAATGTTTCATAACTGATAATTAATATAGGATTGACACAGCGACGTCCAAAGGTTTTCATAAATCCAGTTAATTTGAAGTCAATCTCAGCCTTACTACCGCCATCAATTGCTAACGGCTTCACACGACTTCCTAACCATTTAAATATTTCATTGTACCAATTTTTGACTAGAGAACTTGGAGCCACGATGATGGCTTTTTCAATTAAACCTTTTGCTTCCGGGCCTGCAAATCAAGATTTAGTTTACATCATTTTATTTACATTTTAAGAATAGCCACATGTATAGCCCGTCGAACATTATCTCATTGATTTCAATTTTAGCTTCGTTATGGAAAATATTCGAACCTGGCCTCCACAAATCATTTATTAGCACAAATAAACCATGATTTAAAAAAGCCGAAAAAATAAAGATCAGCGAGAAATGGCTATAATGGATCGGGTTTACACGATGTACGAATTTTAATTCGAAATTCCGTTTCTTTGCGTTAACTATAACCAATAAACCACTAAAAATGAATTTATCGAAGATGTGTCGTTGTGAAGAAGTTTGTAATGATATTTTGATTTGTATTACATCCACCCTAAATACCGTGCAATTACTACCTCTCTAGACTCCAGAGTTTAGAGTCTAGCGGAATAATTATCTACGCTGATGACAACTTCATATTAGGAATTGTGTTTTAGAAATTACGAGTCCTTGATCAAAATATGGAAATAGTAACACCTTGTTTAAGTAAAGTCCAGAGTAATGTGATGCATTGAAGAGTCTTTCCAAGACCCATTTCATCTGCCATAATACACCCAAAGGCATTATCAATTCTCTTTCCTGTTACACACTCGTACATAAATTTCACGCCCTCCCTCTGATGTGGCCGTAAAATATTACACAACTGAGGATCCACAACAACATGAACTAGCATCTGGCTCCTGAAAATAAAATGAATAATAAAAAATCAAAACATAATTTCGAAAAGTACATTATGAACCGAGTGAAAACAGTTTTTGCACATGTGTCGTACAAAATTCTATGATAATCGAAAAATGTTCTCTATAATAGCACACATCTAACAATTAGTTTATAGTTTCAGTTTTCCATTCCTTCACTATATATTTTGTGAGTGTAAAACATTTCGAATCCTATAAATGAAAAAATTTTAACAATAACTATAAATCAAAATTTAACAGTAATAAGTTTATTGGGATTAGATAATCGTACCATCATTACCGATCATGTGTCAATTGTTGTGATGAGAGAAAACTTTTGAAAATCTTTTTTCACACTTGATATATTCGTTGAATTTTTCAATGTAGGGAAATATAATTTAGAAATATTTCCAATTTTTTGTCATTAATTGACAAAACAACTAACACACCTTATTCGAGGATTTAAAAACCGTCAGAACTGAGAATATAGCAGTAAGTCAAACCATTGTAATTTCTCACTCATCATATTACCATTCTATGTTGTACCATCTCACCTCATACCTAATCTTGTAAAAATTATTTTTATTTCCGTTCAGCTCACCAGGTAAAATGAACATTGACTGGCTTAGATTTCTTATTGTTTTTATCAAATACTACGTACATAAAAGATATGGACTTGGCTGAAGGCCCTCGAGCAATGGCTAGTTGAAGGTTCTTACAGTAACTTGCATCAGATTTCATTAAAAATAAACAGAATAGAAATATTTTCAAGCCCTTTTTACGCTGAAGAAGTTGAAAGAAAAATTGTATATAAACTTTTCACCATCTTTGAATTTTCGGCTTTTTTATCTCTAGTTATCCGCTGTCTTACTTTCATAAAGATTGACATATAAGACTTGAAAGATTCCCATTAAACATTAACTCAATCCCATGAATAGGTTCTAAGATATTCTGCTAATTGTAGAATACGTGAAAGGAAAAATTTCAAGCAAAATTTCAGGTTAATCGATGCGGAAATCATCAGGATTGAAAAGTCTATTAAATAGACAAGTTTAGAATATGTAATTGGACACATGATCAAATCGACCGAACACTACTGTATGATGGTCCCATCCCCATAAAATAGTAGCATAAATGGCACGAATTTGTTATATGACCGAAAATAACAACAGTAATTTTCACATTTAGTTTTTTTACGGTTATGATTCTTATTAATTTACTGTTTCATTTCAGTTGACTATGGTTATACTACTATGACCGATGCTATGTTTAAAATTTGTTAAAAAATGACTCTTAAAAAGTGAATCATTTGCACATATCATTAACCAATTTAATAAATCATAGTGCCTAAATTTTTCTGGAATTCATTTAATAGTCGCTTATGTATCCCATGTATATTTCCAGAACTAATATATTGTACAATTAATATAATACTCACCAGACAATAGAAATATTTCTACTGTCTACGTTCTATCATTTTATTGCCGAAATTGTCAACTTACTCATCAATTTTAAGACGTTCGTGTTCTGATAAATCAGGAGGTTCATAAACCACCAATGCATTTGCAGCATAAGGATCATGTAAAGGCCTTCTTGGGCCAGAGAGACGTGAGCCAAGTGATCTCCCTGATAATTCATATCCTGGGATCGGGATTTTGAAAGGTTTCTTCAGTAGATCCTGAATTCTTCGCTCCTGAAAATAATTAAATGTGTAACCATCTTCAGCATTTTTTCAACATTTTTAAATCGAGAATTTAGTCTGTATAAGGTCCGATTGCATCAAGTCACATTAAGCGATTTCAAACTGAAAGTAGACAATAAATTAACCAAATTATACGAATACAGTGGTGCTTTATTGTATTGTTGTCTTATATACTCACATGATCGGTAATAATATCCTGAGTTGCTGACAAATCTTTATCGCTCAGTTTAATCGCCTTTTTCTCTGGAATTAGCAGTGGCTTCGCTTTTCCCGCAAGACGAATTCTTTTCTCCCTAGGGGCAACATTCTCGTCAACGCTGCGCGATTCTTCTCTCTTGTATTTTGTTATTGCAGAAATGTTGATATTCTCGATATTCAGAAGGAGCGGACGTTTTCCACACTGACTCGGCGCCAGTGATCTATTCTGCATTCACCATAAATAAGAGAATTTTTCATAATGACAAGGATCAGTTATTACTCCTGCTACAATACGATTCAATATAAATAGAAATTGCATTGATGACTATTAATTGAATTTTCGTTAAAAGACTTTTTAAAATAAATTTCGGTAAAAACTTTCTTTTCCAAAGAATTTTCTGAATGATTTTCTGAATTTTCTGAAATATTTCCTCATAAAGAAATGCTTATCTGTTTGATTCTATTGTGAATAACTAAATTGCACTGAAACCATCTGATGTTAAAGTTGTTTTGCATTCATTTGTTTAAATAATATAATATTGATTAATAAAATCATATGATTATTCATAATCATAATTTTTTATGGCTATTACTTCAACTAATCAACGCATTGGAATATCAATTAAGCATTAATTGTGATAAATATACCGAATTACAGAAAGGGTCATAAACTTTTGACTATACGTGCAGAACATGCTTAACCAAAAAATTTGTTAGCGCTGTCAATTATTCTTACCATTCTTTTAGACTTGAATGATTAAGCTCTGATTATGAACTTCCACATACAGGATCTCATAAAACATCAAAATTAGCTAACAACAGAAAAAACCTGGATGTTCCTTTTTTGAGTGATGTTTTTTTGTCGCGATAATACACACTTTCCACAACATTATTGCAGTTCTGTACGCTGCACATACACTACTATACTGCTTCTTGCAGGAGAATCGCTTTCGGGTTTCGGCCCGAGCTCTCCCCACCACTACCGATTGACCCCCACTCCAGAATCAAAATATCCCTCCGCGCGCGCCACGTTCAACCGCCATTTGAAATAATGAGCACCTATTTTCGCGACTAATTCTTGCTTCACCAATGAATAACAATAATACAATTTGCAAATATGATTAAACGTCGATTCAAGTACGAAGAATCGTCTTGAATTGAGTGGGTAGTATATCTCTATACGAAGTGATATTAATTCAAGATAATAATAAATACAATAATACTTGTAATGTAAACATATATTTGAATCCCACCCTGCGGCTTCATGGACCGCGCGAGGACTGAGGGAAACCAGGGAAAACCTCAGCCGTACAGCCAGGTAGTATTTATAATACATACAATTTAATCTCATGTAATCCATTTCTAAATACTATCAATATATAAGTATAATAATTATAAATAAATAAATAAGTTCATTTCCTGAGAGTGAAGACGTTGGATGATTATCGGATGGCCAAGAAGTTGTCCTGTGAACAATTGAAATAAATTAAGAATGAATTGGTTCTCCATATGATCTTATCAGACTAACAATAATCATAATTAAGCGCTGAAGTAAATGAAGGCAATGGACTTAGCTATGAATAAGAGCACTTGGTGGGCCTTCCGCGACGTGGGAGATATCCACGATATCATCTCCTGGAGAAGCAACAGAAGTGCCATCAATTTTTCCCTGGAACAATTCTATTAATTTACTGATGAAGCTGTGAATTGGTACAAATAATCCGACATTCTAGAGACAGAACTCACTCCTGTGAGAGGTACTGCAGACTTGCAGCAAGGCTAATTTGCTTGTTCATCCCTTCAGTGTTTTATTAACCTGGAATGTAAACAGATCATTAATATTAGCAATAACGATCTACAATTCGGAATAATTCAGTATCAGCAAACTTTCAAAACTACTGGGTCTGATCAACTGAAGAAATTCAAATACCTCGACGCGATATATCTGCCAACCACCACTGGTTCGACTACGATGACCTGTCAAAAGCAAACCAGCAAGGGCTTCTGCGGAGAGACACCGGAAGAGGCGAGCTTTACCTTGACTTGGCTTATCAAGAGGGTAGTAGTTTCTATTATTGACCGAATGGGGATTGAACATAAAAAAGTTGCGGCGCGTAGACCCTGGAACTCTAGGGGAGATGAAGAATGCAAATGTTTTTGAACCATCAGTAAACAAAAATCCGATACGTGCAAGATTTGCTTCATGTGTCAGCGCATTCGAGTTGATGCATGCTTCAATCTCCTTCAAACCGTTACCCGACGAAAACAGTCCTTCACCGCAGTGGTGAACGTCAATATTCACTTCTTGTCCACAAGTAGTGAAAGATGTTAGGAGGTCTTCAGGAGACAGATGATTGTATGAGATGTTGTTTCGTGATTTGCAATCGACGTAATATTTATCACCCTCAGTCAATATTTGGTCCAGAAGATTTTGGTTAATATCTGCATCTGAGATATGTAAAGCCACAATGCCAACCGTACAGATAGCAGTGCATTGTGAATTTCTCCGATCCGGAGGGAAACGTTTATCACCTTGATGGAATCTCGCAGACTGATAAAGTAAAACCCGATCAATTCCGGGAATAGCAATCTCACCCAACTTTTTTTTATCAGTAACCATCCAAGTCCGCTCATTCTGTAAACAATAACGACAATGAAAGCTTTGAATTGAAATTTTTTGTTCACAATACGTTACGTGAATAACAAAGTATAGCAATAATTTCCAAATACAATCAAGAGTAAATGTCAATAGTGGAGTAGTAGAACAGAATGAGCCCACTGAACTTTGAGGAGTCCATTCAGTAGTCAAATTCCATGCTGATCAATTCGAATATTCAAATAATAAGATGCATGATTTCAACAAATTGAATTACATGCATTCGATTTACACTGTACCACTTACTGAAATTATCGGCCATTCCGGCCCATCATTCGTTCGATTGGGCAGTAATGAGGGAGAGGATTCTGATAACGAACATGTCAAAACCGATGAGATGAGTTCCTCCATCATTCTCTCTCTAATTTGAGGCATGTCTTCAGCAGTAAAATTTAGAAGTGCGCATCTCGCCAAATGCTCAGCATACGTACAGACGAATACACCGCAGTCTGACGAATTATTCTGATGAGGAATATCCTGAAGAGGAAGAGTCGACATGAGCCGAGGCAATTGATTCAAATATCTCTAAGCAAACCGGAAAATACTTACAGTGGCATGTCGTGTTGTCCACTCTGTGTACATGAGTGGTTGACGTTTCTTCTCATCGTGTTCCTTGATCAAGTATTGAAGAATAGTCTATCGAACAAAAATACAATTAAACTCACGAACGGGCGTTGTATGTACGATTGCTAACAATCGAGTTTTCTTACAAGCTTGAGCGGTGCTTTCATACACTTACATTCATGATAGATTGATCCACGGTACCCAGACTGTCGTAATATTCAATACGCTTCTCTTTGACTTGAACGACACAAAGACGCCAATGAAGTCGCAAGTTTATGGGTATCAACAGTAATTCCTTACTGAAAATATCCACCTGAGGCGAATATAACACAGTGACCTCAAACTAACAACTTCTGACACAAATGGAAAACTGTACTTACCTTCTTCGTCCATTCCTTAACATCATTGTATGAAATACGCAGCTTATTGAAGAAGAAGGTGTCAAATGCATACACAGACCCCTGACTTCGCTTCACAACAAGGTTCAAATATTTATTGATAATCTGGAAGTAAAAGCCTGATAGTATATGTAATTCTTTGTGTTTTCATACTCTTTATACTCACAACGTCGTTCAGCCACCCCCCTGGTGCCAATGTAGCCAGATGCCCAACACGCATTGCCTCGCCATCAGTTGGAATAATGGTTTCTAGGCTTTTCGTCAACCAATCCTATCGGAAAATGCCAATAAGGATTGGATATCGGTTACTAAATGAATAAAAATCAAATTCGCCGAGTTTTACCTGGGCATGAAGGACAGGTAATTGCTCGGGAGATATATTTCGATCTGATTCCACACTCATTGCTTCTGTATCATCAGGTATGATGATAATGGGTATATCAGCGCACTCTTCATTGCTGCCCAGCTACAAAAAACATCTTCATAAATCCCGAGAACCGAAAACTAGAATGAAAATATTTACGTGGAGGATGCTGAAGACAGCAGCATCGGTCTCCTCATTCGTAATGGAGGCAGGAAATGACGTAATCGGAAGAGTCGCTGTGACGACATTTGAAGCATTGAAGACTTTTGAAGGCAAATCGATCACGTCATCTGACCCATCCTGATTCATTACGTCACCTGATCCTTGCGACCCATCAACATCCTGCGATGAAATTATTAAATTGGCAATGATGGAATAATGAAAGAGTAAAAAAGTTGCTGACGATTTATGTATCATACCATGGAGCAATCAAACAACGATCGACAGACAGATCTCTCATTGTTAACGAGGGGCGATTGGGAGGAAGTGCATGTTGTATTGGAGATCACGGTTACCCCAACATCCATCCTCTCAGAGTCATTTGGGTCACCTTCCACTCTGAATTCCATCATTTCAAAATCCTCCTCATCAATGCTGTCCTCATTGTCACAGGTGATTCTTATTTCATAGCTTTGTTCCATGTCATTCCCAACTTCCCTTGCGTAATCCTCCAAGATAAGTCGCTCTGTGTGTCTACAACAGTTCATCCAAAACTCTGGTGTTACTGAAGCAAGGGCTTCAGCCCAGATCTTGTCGGTATTTTCAAGCGAAAAGTCATTATTTCGACCAACATGTGCATCGAAGTACCGCTTTGTAAGGGACCAAACCATTTCAATGGGATTGTACTGACAGTGGTAGGGGGGCAAACGAACGATTTCGTGGGTGCTCTTCGTTTTCACATATTCGTCAAGTGCATACTGTGCAGGGCGTTTATGGGCTTTGCATATGAGTAATAACTCTCTCTTCAGAGAGGTCACTTCATAGTCAATATGCTGACTATCTAGCCACGACTGGAGTTCCGGTTTAGTCCATTTTGTTGAGGGTTGATATTCACTCTGTATGAAGATCAAAAGTTCATTAGGAGAAAATAATAAAAAATGGCGCTAAGAAATAATCATATCTCACATACAGCATGCCGATCTTTTGATCACAGAACGATAAAGTTCTAACTTACGATTATTGTTAATAATAATACAGGAAAAAGCTGTCTCTCACCCTCTGAGTTTCTTTACAATGACAGCGATGACCGATTAATCGGCGATCTATCACGAGCACTCCCCAAACCCTCTCACTTCTCCTCCTTCACTTATTCATATTACAGACTGTGTGGTACTACGAACTCAAGCAAGATATTGTTAAAAGCAAAGTCTAAATCAAGGATTACGTACCATAAAGTTATTAAGCTGTATATTAATCTCGCAATATAAGGAAGCGGGCTAGAAGAATGTCAATATGTTAAACATCAATACACCGCAGATTTATGGATTAGAAGCATATGGATTGTTAATAACGTCAATACTATTAATTATTTCGAGTTATGGCTTGTGAAACAAAAAAGATTCATACTAGTTTGGAATGGTACGAGGCATTGTCAACAACAATCGCCGAAGGTTCGTGTAAATTAGGCAGCAACTTTTTATCCAACCAATTCAAGAACAACTCCCAATTCATGTCTCCATGATAATCATCGTAGTCTTTGGGTTTCGCGCTCGTACGGAAAAAAAGAGAAGCATTAGGAACGAATCCATTTTTGCCACCTGCGTGGCAGATTATGTATCTGTCTCCAGTACTTCCAAATTTCATGGAGCAACTACGAATATCCTCATCTTGCCACTCTCTTCGCTTCCCTGTTCCGTACCGGAAGGTCCAAGTCTCGTCTTGATAGATGATCTGCTTGCCTTCATCTATGAGGTTTTTCATTTTTTTCAGGAATTGAATTCTCTTCAGAACGATGTGGGGTTGCTCTTGTAGCCATCGAGTGCCATCTCGGCGACGGTAAACGAATCCAAGGTCGTGGAGCACTTTGCTCAGAGTAAATCTTCCGCCTGTGAATGGGATTCCGCGGACCCTGCAAGAAAATTTTTGAATTATCTCATCGTGTGAACCGTCTCTCATTTACCCGAACGAACAATGGATTTTAATTGCTAATGAATAGCTAACTACCTGATGGCCGCAAGCACGATAGCGAGTGATGGAGATAGACCTACACAAAAATTAATATATAATCTCTCCACATTTTAGAATCATCATTGGATCGGAATGTATGGAATTTGAATATCAAAGCTCACGTTTTCCAGCAAATTCGTAAATAAGGTCACGAATTTGTTGCTTTACGGATTTATCAACATCGCGAATGAGTTTTTTGCGAGGTCTCTCCTTCCCTGGAGTTTCAAAATCAGCTCCACTCTCTCCGACGCGAACAGACTCTGTGACCTTGTCCTTAGAAACTCGTAGAGCTCCCATTACTCTTTCTCTACAACATGATAAGCAGCATGTGAGATAGATGTACACGACACCCAAAATGAAGAAATGAAATAATTAAAAGGTGAGCAAGCATATTGTGTATCAGAAAATGACGTCACTGTAAAACAGAAGTGCAGTTAGTGAGGAATTTTGATCGATAGCTTGAGCAGAGAACCCACATGTGTGAAACAAGTCTCTATGCTTCACCTGTACTGAGCAAGAGAATACGGAAAACCAATGGACAAATCAGTCAACTAATTTCATTATTATCAACATGCATAAATTTCTTGTTATAGAATCTCGTTAAAGGTCGAATGATGGGAACAGCGACAATCAATCTTGAATATGAAAAGTGGAAATATGCATTAGCAAGAGCAAACAGTAAGTTGTGGAACGATAAAGCAACAATGTTGCTATGTCAACATCATCTCCATCTTATTAATCCGCCTGCTGTCAGCCGAATCCTCCTCTGGATTTCAGTAGGATATGTCTTCTGATGATTCTGAAATATTCAACATCGTCTGTTATAGCATCACATGAAATGAATACCCATCATGTTCTGTGGTGTAAACCACAAAGTACATATAAATTTGGATTAAGGGCGCGTTGTTCTTCGCACGTTCCCGAATTTCGGTGGGTGGGGTGAGTGCAAACCGTTGCCAATCACACCAATAGTTCCCCGATAAATTAGTTTGGTCATTAATTAATTTAAGTCCATCAATTTTCGAAGGAAAGACAAAAAATGCCCATGAACGAGTTTATTCAAGTTTCATTGAAATAACTGAGAAATCTTTAAGTCATTTTAAATGAAAAAGTATTCCAATGAGTGTGAGTGTTCATGAGTATTTATTTAATTTCAATATGCCACATGAGCTATGGGATTGATATATAACATGTAATTTTCAGGGGCAATTGCCTTAATCCTTCATTAGATGCCCATTACCATTTATGCAATTTTCTGAACACTGTCTTTTCAAATATACTATAATAATTCGCTATCAACACTCTGAATCTTGAGAATAATGAAATTGCGTTTCTCACCTGACAAGAGTCACGGGAATTAGAGGGCCACCATTATCTCGTTCTTCTTCAAAATAGCGATGAAGAGCATAAATGGCATACTGCATTTGCCTATTAAACGATCTTCCTCTCTTATCACGTAACTGACCATTCCAACGTAGGCGATTCAAAGGCTTTTTCGGAGTGATTCTGCCGCCTTTGGGCTTCATGTTGTCCAAATTCGACAGATTATACTCCTGCACATTAAAAACAGACAAACGACTCACAGACAATTTTTCGCATTGGATGAAGCAATGGTTTAAGAGTGCCTTCCACAAAATCACTTCAGATGAAAATACTCGACGAATTGAATGGGGCACTGGTTTTCGGGACTTCTAAAAAATTATTCCAGGCACAAATAGGCCCCTCAAGTTCTCAATCACTCACGTTTTGCAATTTTACTTATAATTTTTTTACTGGCAATCTTAGGGCTGTCAAATTGTTCTCGGGGGCTGGGATAGTTTTGAGGGCTTGGGGGATGCTATATAAAAATTCCCAATCTTCTAGTATCAGTCGTAATACATGAGAAATCATTCTAAAGATTCAATTTAATCATGGTTTTCATAATTTTTTAGAAATCACTCCGGTTGCAAAAAATGACCCTGATCCATCAATTGTGCATTTTGCTTAGAATCAAGTGATTTTAAGATGAAATGTCAAAAGACCTTTTCCAGAGCTAAATCAGTTCTCAACAATAAATATTATTCCACTTTTAGTCTTAAAATGATTAATTACGGAGGTAATTCACCATATTCAACAGGTGTGTGTAAAGTCTGTTTGTTTGTTTACATTTCACGCCTTTACTAAAAAATTAGACTAATGACGGGGGAGGAAGGTTTAAGACTAGTCTCGACTGCCTGGGAAAGAAGGGGAGTGCGGAATTTCCAAAAAAATATTTAATGATGGCTAAGGAACTTAAAAATTATTAAAATCGCTCTAGCAATCTGTCATATGGATATGTCATGCACATAACCCTACAGAAAAATGGTATTTTTACTCACCTGAACCTTCCAATATTTTGTACTAATAGTCTACAAAGCACTTCACAAGCACTGAAAATGGTTTCAATACGAGTAATTGCAAATTATTATCAAATTAACTAAAAAATCACTCAATAGTCCGATCAACAGAAATCTTCGAATTTGTGCCGGGAAATAGTTCCTCGCGAGGGGACTATTTTTTCCCGGCGAACGGCGCGCGATCGAAGGGAACGTGGTGGGGAGAGCTCGGGCCGAAACCCGAAGGCGATTCTCCTGCAAGAAGCAGTATACGAATCCTATGAATACAAATTACAAACTGCCCTCAAAAGTAGGCGCGCGCGCACCAATTTCATTTTCCTCTATAATATAGAGTCTATATGTAGAGTTAGCGATAGAGGGAGTTTTTCGCCAATATACCAATAATGCATACTAGTTCGTTTGAAGAAAATTGAAAATCATTTGTCAATCACCTAAAAACGATTCTGCACCGTTTAATCCTATGATCGATTATTCTAGTGGAAAATGAAAAAAATGAAGATGCTAACTTCCCTCATATTTTCTTTTTGTTTTCAATAATAAAAAATTAATTCAACAGAAACGAGCACCGATCAAACGTTAATTTTCGTCTATTATACACACGCGGCAGCTCTTCAAATTATTCTGATTGTACATATCATATTAATTGCGCTAAAAAGTAGGATGTAATTCCCCATTCCTTCGATTTTAGAAGTGGGAGACATGGAGACATGGGAGAATGTTAACTACGTGGAGTGGAGGTATCCAGGGAAGTAACCGACATATAACAAATATAATTCACAGTCAAACTGAGTTTAAGGATTCGACACTAGATGTCTCATGTTTATAAAAAAAAATTTGTACCGTCGATTGATCTTCACCGTTGCAAACCTTTTTTGAAGTGTTAATAAATACAAAACTTGAAGAGAATTAACGAGAACGATAATAAAAAAGGGTCTATCGCTTCTGTTGTACATATAAATATACAAATATCTGCATGAAATGGACGTCTTGTGGGTCCGTGCTAACAATAAGCCCGCAACCTAAACGTTTTTTGAGATATACATATATGGAGCAGGGAAGTATGATCGAGTTAACATCTGAATTTGAAATTAAACGTGAAAATTAGATACAAATAACGTCAATTTACGGATGCTTCAAATAACTTCAATAATAATCATTGTAATTCGCGATTGTAATTTACGTTTTTTATTCTGTCACCTCTGATAGCCAACGGAGCACAACATTGAATGGGAGAATTAGGAAAATGAACTCATGTGACTTTAGTCAAAACCATAAAACAAAGTAGCATTTAATAATTAACTATATTAACGAATACCAAACACTAATAATTGAGATGTCATCAACGGAAGGGAACTCAGCGCGGCATAATGTAAAATACTTACCCAATGCCATAACAACTCTTAATTAATCGATCATAATTTCGTCAACAATCAAATTAACAAGAACAATAAAGAATGAAGAAAGAAGTAATGGAAGAGGAATATAACGTCAGTACTGTGCTAACAACAATTTTCCAGAACCTGAAGCGGGTTACTACGGAGATGAGTAATACTGTTGACAACAATGGAACAACCATTCTAGAATATGCTGCTATTTCATATCCTATCGATGAAACAACACAGGTAAATATGGTGAAGACCGTTGCCACATCATCACCCATTAATTCAACGAGAATTTGTACGACTACAACCACTGAGGAGCCCTTTGATGAGTTTGGTCCACCTGACGGGGTAGAGTACATATTTGTGCCACTTGGAGTGATGATATTCGTGGTGATACTCACTGCAGTGGTGAGAATGTTTGAAGACTCCCCCACTCAAATTCAATGTCCTCAAATTATTTTTTATATTATTTTGTAAATATCTTACTGAAAGGCTTGTTTTCCAAGTGGATAAATTCTTTTGCAGACGTTTTTTCTTCATTGAAAAAATCTTCTTATCCAAATCATATAGCAATAGCTCAGGAATGCTTATTTTAAAAAAGTGTGTAAAAATTCATATTCAAGTTCATATGAAAACGTTAATTATCTTTCATCTCCAGCATAAGCATCTTTTGCGATATTGAAAAAAGAATCCTCGCAAAATTTCTTTCTTCATCTTCCTTTTGCCACACTACCCTGCAAATATCTCATCAATACAGACAATAAAAAAACGGTGACATTTTTGGCACAGGATGTTACTGTTTTTGTGAATTTTTGTAAAATCTAATTTAGAGAAAAAAATTTCCGTCTTAGAAGAGTGGGAAAAAATTTTTTCCTCTCCAAAATTCTATCTCGAATACTGAGGAAAAAAAAATAAAGCATAAATATATATTTTCATCTCCGACAGTATTTCATGTAAGACGAAATGCTTTTTCAATTTTATCAATATTCGAGGCATTTTGTTTGCTCACATCCTAACTAATCCATCTTATTAATTAATCTAAGGTATTAATAATATCAAGACGACGAAAAATGGAACGTCTAAGGCATAGGCTTATGCCCCTCTACAACTTTGATCCAAGCGAAGAAGGTGAGGATGATTGGGAAACCGAGTTACTCGATGAAGGACTCGGACGGACGCAAAGACGAGTATGATCACATTATTCTTTCGTTGTAGAACAATAACTGCAATCCAAGTTAAACTGAAGAATTAAATTATTACAGCAGGGCTATCAGTCAATGGATAATGAGGAGAATGCTGAATTGTTTAGTCACTGACGTATGATTCGTCGTGACTGCAGCGATAGTAACGATGATAATCCAATGAAGATTCCACATCGTTTTTTATCAGGGTCCAAGGGTGACGTACACAATGGCAATGATGAAAGAGTGGAATTGCAGTCGCTCGACGAAGATGTGTGCTGACAGTGTTCTCGCACCACGAAAATTTAGCTGAATATTGAAACCATTTCCATGGGGACATGATAGAATCTATATTTTATCGTTTACACTCGATGGCATTCCATTCTGTATAATGGAAATTAACTTCTTTTCTTCAAAGATAATGGAAGGTTAACATCTTAAACTCTATATTTTTCGTGACATTTAACATCTTATATTTCCAAAGGAGTGGTTCAGTGTAACATATCGACTATACGCATCTTACGATAAAATAATTGAAACAGCTAATAATCGTGCAAAAATATGAAAAAAGCCGACTACGCATCAATCAAATCAATCATCCCAATTGGAATTATTGAGAGGATCTTCCTACCTAGGTGGCTTTTTGTAATTGCTATTTAACATTCCGTTCGTACTGCTAATTCTAGCTGAAAATTCTACCATTTAACCAAAAGCTCTTTTACAAGCAATATTTAGTGCTAGTATTTTCGGTTTTAGTTCTTAAAAAAAAACCAAAAAAAAATTTATAAGCAAATAAAGAATTATGTAGTGCTACTTTTCCGAATAGATTCTGATTAAATTTAAATGTATAGGTTGTCGTCGGTGCATTTTTGGGGCTTTTTAGTCATTCAAAAAAATTTATATAAATTATGGTATGGTAATAGGAAGATCTTTCAAATATTTTTCTATAAAATATCTATTTTTACTAAATATTTCTATGCCATCCGATTACATCGTGTTAGCTCTTTAATTATTATTCAAATTAATTTCCTTCGATACCTCATGACCCTTAACTGATCATTTATACAAATAGCTAATCTAACCTGCCCTATGACAACTGATGCCAAAGGCAATATGAGACTTTTACTCTGTGTATTATTTTAGTTCTTCAACAGATATTAATTTAAAAAATCCATTTCTTATAATTCCCTAAATTCCAGTAGAGCTGGTATAGTAAATGTGTCTATGCTCATTCTTCTTTCTACAGCCGTTACTTGTCATCGGCTGTCTCGATTTCATGTTTTGAACAGTTCTATGAGTCTATCGAAAGTCAAATATGATAATAACAATTAGTTAGTAGAAGTCTATTTTAGCTCCACCAAAAGCTTGACTTATTCAGACGAATCAGTAAATTTCTCTGATTGACCTGGCACTGTGTTTCCGAACTGTTTACACAATAATAGTGGTTACATCCTCGTCGTAGCTCCAGGCAATGCCAAAAGCGCCAAGAGCGATGCAAAATAGGGGATGGCAAAAAAATTATTCTCCCAATCAATTCAGATTGGTGATCAGACGAAAAACCATAAATCCCAACAAATAGCATCGAAATGAATGGTGAAGTTACACTAGACATTTACCAATTAGTTTAATTAATAATAAATGCGACCAGATAAAAACATATTGATATCAATCGTGTCAACTTCAGAACAACTGTCAAGGTGGAACGTTGAATGTTTAACAGAGGTATGCCTTAACACTTTAATGGCAGATTTTCATTCTAATTTATCGGAGATGAACGTTCAAAATGAAATTGATCATTATCTAGCTATTTCATATGATGACTATTGTAGAATAGTAATACGGTGAAGGAGTGAACGAGCAAAGAGACATGAAACATGTAAAAGAAACATCACAAATGGCCATTACATGACCATGAGGACATGGACATATTATCCTTAATAACTTCAATTAGTAATGATCTATTATGGAATAGTGATTGTCGTAAATAATTATCTTAAATTTCTATTCAGAAAGATACAGATTCTTATATTAAATATAAATCACAACGTCGTACGCATTTTATGCGAGATTCTCCAGAAACTTTATATTCACCTGAACTAGTTGGGCATAGAGGAGCATTTACTTTACTAATTTATCAAGATATTAATTTTTTATAACATGTGTCAAAAAGATTAAGTATGTTTCATATCCACATACAGTCAAAATTCACGTTTTTTCAATTTTTGGACAAATTATCAGTGAGATTGATGTGAGAAAATATAACGTTCTTGCGTTTTGTCATTAGTTGATGACTCACGTATTGTCTCTACAGTTTTGTAATTCTTTTTACAAGTTAATAAAAAAACGCAGAAAAATGCTCGCACCCAATCCCTGAAGAAATGAAACACAGCAAAAATTCACCCATGTTAATTTTCCTATGGTCTATTAATTTGGGTGAGTTTTAAGACGGTTTGGATGTGTGGGTTATTTTGTCTTGATCGATTTCTTCTGCCCAGCGTTCGCACCACTTTGCTATTTTGTGAATCATTAAATAATGACAAAAGAAAGAAATGCTGTTTTTTCACGTCAATCTCACAGGTTTGCCACAAAAAAATAGAAAAACGTTAATTTCCGTTGTATATGGATGTAAGACACCCTTAAATTTTCGATACGATTAAATGTATGAAAATTTCGGGCGCGATATGGACGAAGTTCCGAATTGAACGATGCTTTCCCCACAACAATCATCTCATGCACGACCTTACACGAACTTCTTCACTTTACACGGAGATAAATATTCAAGAAAAATTACGGAACATTTCACGTAATCTGCAAGCAAAGGAATCATCACATAAATTCTACGATCTGTTCTGTAAAAATTACTCATCCACCCGACGCCTCACGACTAGCTATGAGTCACCGTGAGGGGGGTATTTTTACGGAAAATTTCGTAATTTTTCCGGAACATTCGGTAAAAATTCTTGGATATCCAGGAATTTTTATGTTCTGAGACATAATTGGTCTTGAAATTCCGTTCGATTTTAAAATATTCAGAAAAATTAGGTGATTTTTTCGTATATTTTCAGTGACAGAACCCGAAAATTTACTGAAAGTTCTAGATTTATTCCCCGAAAACGATTCTCGCTGGCGGATTGCGTGAAATGTTTCGTAATTTTCCTGTAATATTTCTCTCCGTGTACGCATTTGTCACACTAAATCCTCCCTTTCCTCCCTCTACCACTCTCCGCTAAATGAATCAGATATTTGACAGGTGCATTCGGAAAAGAGTCACTTGACACACAAGATTGTAGGATGTGAAAATGTAATCCGAAGTACATTTTAATCTAATTTTATTTTTGGCTCTTAATTGCTGTCAATGAAACACAAATGTAGCAGAAATATTTTTTTCAAAAAATTAATATAAGTTGGGAAGCACTCTTCCCAATCGTTCCTCATTGCTGTAGTCACCAAAGGTGAGTGCTAAACACTCTTGGAGCAAAAAATACTTTTTTCCCAGTTATCGCACGATGTTTTGCATCACTATGCGTACGGAACATACAAAGTGAATTTTTGCGCCGGCACGCCTGAAGTGCCACTTCACACACAGCGTGACGAATATATTATATTTATTGTCGGATACATTTCTCGGAGAAGATTGTTTAGTTTTGAAATGGCGTGGAAAAATAATTGTTTTGTTAAAAAGTGATTAAAAAGCAAAAAAAAAGTATTAACAAATGATTATTATGAATGCTATTATGTTGAAAGTTATGGTGAATTATGGCGTATATAGTTGGACTTTAACCCTGTGAAATCCGAAATTAACATGAATACTATGTTCTAATCGTGTTTCACATAGTCAGACTTGACAACCTTATCACTGTGATTATCATAATTGAAAAAGTAATAGATATAAAAATTTTAACTGAGTAGAATTTTAAGACTTATCATAAATCAAAGCCTGGTATGCGGCGTGAAAAAAAAATGAGATGTTTTAGAGATATTTGACATTGTATGTGAAACTAATTCTCTTGGTAATGTGTAGAAAACGGCTCAAGCAATTGACATTTCTCTTCAGTCTATACCGTGACTAAAATGTTATTAATTCTTCAGACGTTTTGTTTGCTTAATAAAAACTAATATAATATTACCTCTCATGTGTTGGATTTTTTATCCCTGATTCTAGTGTATCTCATATATACGATAAGCTATACAAAATATGAGATATAATATGAGAGTACAGCATGAGCATATAAAAGAAATTGCAAAAATGTAGTGTCGTGTAAAAGACTAATTGGTAACTCACGAAGTTTCAAGGTGGTGCAAACATTTTTCTGCGTTTTTGCTTCCGAATGGAAGCTTTGTAATCGACCAAATTTATTGCTTCCGAATGGAAGCTTTGTAATCGACCAAATTTAAGATTCCCATTTTTTGTCATATTTCCACTTAATATGACCCAATGATTTCGAAAATGCAGTTTTTTGACCGTGTCCGAATGTATGTATGTATGTGTGTGTATGTGCTATTTTTATTTCATTGATTTTCTTTGATTGCTTACCTGTATCTTTCATCAGTTGCATCTTTTTCTATCCGAATGTAGGTCTCATTGGGTTCTATCTATCGCTGTCAATAGAAATTGATTTCACCCATCCGTTTTTATAATTTTTACATTTTTCAAAAATTCGTTTTTTTTACAATAGCTCACAAAAAAATCATCTGAATCAATTGAATCACGGCTTAAAAACTGTGTCCTGATGTGCTCTTAACCGAGTTCGAAGATGAAGGTAACAGCAATAATATTTTTTTTAATCTCTGTGAAATTACATTTTTTTTTTTAATATTTCGATGATTTCTTCGCCTATCAGTCAGGCGATACATACAATGGTGCTTGAAAAAGTTGATTTAAGTTTATCATTTCAGAGCGATAAAAAATTGAACACTGTTATCGATGACGGGTTGAGGTAAAAAAAAACAAAGGCAAAAGAACATTTCGAATGAGGGTTTGAAAAAAATAGTTCTCACTTAGTCATTCTTATAGGAGAAAAATCTGATGATTACCTTCTTGTCTCTTGTTGAAATAGATTCCAGAGACATGAATTCGCTGCTCTAAGTTAGTTATTTTGGATTAATTCTAAATTTATTATAGCCGAATATATCGGTAAGAAATTCATTTCTTGTATTGAAGAGCACATGGATTTAAAGATAAGTGGGGTTATTAAATTATTAATTAGGCGTAGCATTGATACAACAAACTGTCAAGATTAGCAGAAAAAGAAAACTAACATCATAAAAGAGAAATGCTAATTTCAGAGGAGAGGTTTGAAGGAACGAAAAGAATGGATACCGATGGAATGCAAATGGTAAATTAGAGGTTTTAGCTATTTGTCACACTACTCCCTTCACTGAAAAACAGATTGCTTGGCCCAAGCTCGGACCAATGGTTAATCCCCACCTGGGTATCAATTTTTCCTTAAAACTGATATTTCAGTTGATCATAATACAAGTTTATTTGATTGTCGAGACTTGGGCCAAGCTCGGACCAAGACTAACCTAGCTTGGCTCAAGCTTGGAATTCAAGATTGTATTTATTATTCCCTGATAAATTGGTCTTTAAAAAAACCTAATTAATTAACTTAAAAATTAACCGCCGCAACCGAGATTCGAACGCATGAGCCTAACATTATGAAACCTACGCCTTACCACTGAGCTAACACTTTATTACTTTACTTTATAAAAAGGGGTATGGGAATGGGGGTAGAAAGAAAAATGAAAATTGGGTTTTATTTTGACCACCATGATCTTAGGTTGACGTCTACGTCATCTAGTTTGGTGTTTGTATGATTTATAAGGCTGTATTTGAAGTTATCGGTTAGAGTCGAAATGTACTCATGAATGAGGTTTATTTTCAGTGTATTGTGAATGGTGGAGATTTGTCTTCTATGGCTGAAGTTACCTATGATTCTAAGGAATTTATTTTGAGTAATTTGTAATTTTGATAGATGTGAGTACGCTGCATTATGCCATACTGGGCAACCGTAGGTTAGTGCCGGTCTAATGAGTGATTTGTACAATGTTAATTTCAAATTGGTAGTGAGAGAGTTTGCCTTAAGAAGCCAGTAAAGGCGGGATAGTAGGCTTTTTGCGTTAGTGTTGATTTTGTTTATGTGCTGGCTACAGAGTTTGGAGTCAATCCATAGGCCTAAGTATTTGGTACAATTTTTGGCAAAATTTCTTTTGCCCTAATTTGTATCGTGGTTTTCAGGGGTCTGCCACGTCAAAAAAATGATGGCTTCAGTTTTTTCCTCATTAACATTGATTTTCCACTTGTTTAGTTCCTTAATGATTACGGATGCTGCATTTTCCAGCCGCGAGATTGCCTTGTTTAATGAGGTACTAGAGGTGAATATAGCAAGGTCATCAGCAAAGCCTGCTATGTTTACATTTTTTGGGCAAGTTACAAAAATAGAAATTATATATATGTTGAATAACGTGGGAGATGGTACCGAGCCCTGCGGTACTCCAGCGGCAATTTTTTGTGGTAATGATAGGGATTAGTCTACTTTTACCTGTATATATCTATTCTGTAAAAAAGAGTGTATAACTTTGCATGGGGATTCCGGAATGTTTAAGGAGATAAGCTTATGAACCAGCCCTCCTTGCCATACAGAATCAAAAGCCTTCTCACTATCCAGAAAGAGAGCACAGATGTTTCCTTTGCTATATTTGCCTTTTTAACAAAGTTAGTCAGTCTTGCAAGTTGGTGAGTGGTGGAGTGGAAAGCCCTAAAGCCAAACTGTTCCTTTGGGAGAATTTTATGTTGATGGATGGATTTATTTAGCCTCGTGAGTATTATTTTTTCCAGTATTTTTCCAAGATTTGGCAGGAGGCTAACAGGTCTGTAACTTACTGGGTGGAAAACG